CCATACTGCTCTTTAGAATCGATTTATATGGAGGATTTGTGGGAAGATTTTCAACTCTTGGATGCACATTGGACGTATTGTCCGTAAAACATGGTTACTGTTGATTCCTTATTTCCAATTTTTAAGGTGAACACTTTGTCGTTGGACGTCAAGCTCACCATAATACAGTATGAAGCATTCATTTTTTTTCTTGGAATCGCTCCTTTTCATATTTTAAGTTTTTGACATGCTACTTGCTTCGAAACATTTTATGCATTTTTCAACTTTTTTCAAATGGAACAAGAAATTTTGGGACAGAATTTTTTCAGTTATTCAAACTATTATTTATTTATATATAAAACTTGTTATTCATATATATATACTATACTATTCATATTTATATTCAGTTATATATATTTATTATTCAAACTATTATTGAAAAACTGCATTAAGCATGTAAATTATTTGAATATTATCAATATACCTTTTTGTTCAAGATATAAGGTCAGTGGCATATATAGATTTAGGTACACTCACCTCGCGACTATAATATGAAACAAAAATACTATCGAGAACAGATATTCGGGTTATTTTAACTTAAGATAAATAAAATCGTTACTGTCATAAAAAGGTGGAATTTCAAAAGAGTAATGAATTGAAACATTGTATACAATTATCACACTGAAATGAATACAATTTGAAAAAATAACTCGTTACATTATAATAATATAGATTCAAAGTTTAGTTAAGGGGTTATTAGTATTTATGAAATGAGTTGAAAGATCTTATAAATCAAAAAATATTTTTATTGTAATTCATAGTGTTATTTTTTATTGGAGTGTGCACCGCGAGGGTGTTATTTATGAAACCTTAAAATAGAATATATATATCACACACAGAATAATATCATGATATGTTTCTTCTGTGGCTTTTAAACTAAAACTGTTGTTTAGCAGGTAAAAGCTACAATACAAGTTTGCCTGCAAAAGAAAATTGTCCTTTAGCACAAAAAATGCTTTAGGGCATGTTTGAGCAGCATTTCCATTAAAAAATACACTATACTACACTTCCATTAAAAAATCACATTGAACTAAAAGAAAAGCTCGTTTTTTATGCCATAAAAGAGAACAAGTTAAGTGTTTTGGAAAATTTAGAGCAATAAATTTTTTTTAATGAATTCATAAAACAATGCAATTTATTTACACAAGCGCATATTTAACAAAATGAATATCACTTCGGATTTTATACATCACACTCATCACATTTCATTTCAAAAAAGTCAACTTCATTCTGTAACATGAATTATAGACCAGTAAATGAAGGTTCACTTGGTTTCTGTAGCCCATTTCTTAATAAGAGGCAGCAAGTGTTTACCAAGTTCTTCATCCTGTAAATAAAAGTCATTTAAATATTTTTATGTGTGATACAAGTGAGTACATGGTTTAAGAAAATCTCTAGCTTTTCCCAAAATCAAACAAATTAAAAATACATAGTTATTTTTTCCTTGTTATTGAAAAATGTACTATTATTACTTACACTAGTTCCACAAAAGATGTACTATTGCTATTTTATGCTAGTGCCACAAAAAATCATCTTCTACTCTAAAATATTTCATTTTTAATAACAGACTTTGCTTCCATTAGAACAACTGACAGAAGAGATTCACTGTCAGTGCGTCAGAGTAATAAGATATCAACATTTTTATTCTATGCCAAATATAGTAGAGAAGGATTGTAGAATAAACACAATCTTTCAACAATCACAATTTGCATTTTAAATATGTTAAAAAGTTTTATTCACTTCGGGAAAAAAAACTATTCTTTAAAATGCAAATTAACAACATTAACTCTAGGCAACAAACATAACCCTTTAGCAGGATTGAATAAATAGCATAGTTCACAATTTAGCCACGCTGAATCTTTGAAAAGAGAACTGATGGAGATAATCAGTACTTTATTCCTGTATGCCATCTAAGGCTATAGGTTATTAATTTTGCAAAATTTTTACAGAAGCAAAGCCTCAGCCATAGATAATCATCTCTTACCATGAGGTTAAAGTATCCCACAAGTTTCTAGAAGACTTAAATGGAGCTATCCATTATACAAAGCCACTAGTCCAAGTAGCTCTCTTCAGTTCCTTTAAGCAGAAGCTGGTTATTGGGTATGTTAGAAATTTAGTAGTTTTGTATTATTAGATAATTTTACAACAGTTTTGTTAAAGTTTACATTATATAGTAATTTATTTACATATGTATTAGTGTAATATTTTTCAGTAAGCAAAAATTGCACACAACGAAACAATGAGGATCACTGAGAAAATAAGATCCAATGACTTCATCATCATCAATAATAACACAGAATTTTTTAGAAAAACTTAATTTCTCAAATGTCTCGCTATTTATTGAAAAAGTTTCCATGTCAGGGTGCGTAGCCAAATTTCTCAACAAAAAATAAGCACCTTTAAAGTAGTCAAAAAAATATTTTTAAGCACTATATGCATTAACGAAATGCAAAATAATGTTCAAAGACTTTACATGATCATGATAAAATAACTAGTTTCCGACAAAGAACACTTTTCTTGATTATATTAGCCATTATAAAATGATGCTGTCCAATGCCGGTTATAAAATAAAACCATTGCAAGAGAAGCACAAAATATGCAATTTTAAATAAAAGATAGTCATTCTAATTCAACCTATCCTGTAACAACATTTGATATAGGTTTTATACTGGTTTGATACAGGTTTTTTGGCAGACTGATGAAGAAAGATCCCATATCTATGATTTACTACAGTTAAGAGAAGGCACCAACATGTAATCATGAAAAAGGTTGGTGCAGTGTCACAAATCCCCAAGAAGCATGAGGCAATGATAGCTTTGCTTTGACAATCTTTTTTTTTTAATTCTTAACAGAGTGTTTTGTAACTAAGTATAATCAGATTACTTATTTTCTTTTAATAAGAATTGCAATGAAGGGATTAAAAAGCTTACAAAATGGGATTAATTTGTGCATCTCACATCTCAAATGAAACAGTAGGGGGCTTGGGAAAAACATTTTAGAGTAAAAAGACATAAAATATGATTTTACCTGATAACCCCAAGACAAGCAAATGCTCTTGGTATCGTCTTCACAAACATCTACTTTGATCAGAACAGATGCAACAGTAATGGAACAATCTGGTGCCAGTTGCACAGTTTTATTCTCTAATAAGCTGTTGAGAAATTCCCAGAAAAAAAAAGTATTTTATGAAGTAAATACAAAAAAAAAATAATAAAATTACAGTTTTTTAAAATGCTGAGTGTTCAGAAAATGACCAAAAGTTTTGAGTTTCTCAAAGCAGAATACAATTTTTTTTTTCAATTTCAAAATTAGTTGCAAATATTATTAACAAATCGTACTGCTCCCTGAAAAAAAAACTCGAAAAATAATGCTTTTCTCTACATGTCAAAACCTTCTAACTGAAATAATCACATGAGTATTTGTAAATTTAGATAATAGTGTTTCAGTTTTGGCAGATAACAGTGCCATAAGTGAAAGAACTAATTTTAAAAGTGTGTGAGAAAATCTCGTTCACTAAGAAGAATGCAGCAATCCTTGCACTTCCATAAATTGATTTCACAAATCTCAAGTGTATTTGTGAAATTGACATGGTGAAGTGGGGTTCCATCTTTACCTCACTATTCCCGAAGTCAACCTATTATAGATCTTGATTTAAGTTATTCCCCACCTATAACCTGATGATTCTTCTCAGAGGAAAAAAAAACTAAATCTCCCCCCCCCAAGTTATTCAAAATAAAAGCAGCATATATGATTTTACCCAGAGGAATAATGCTTGGAGGGTTAGTTGACACTATTAACAAGGTGTCTACTTAAGTTGTGTAAAATTTAGAATAAAAACCCTAGATAAAAATTCCTTTGTGATGCAAAACTAACTTGAAAAAAAGTAGTTAAAGAAAAAATAACAGAAACAATTATAATGTAAATCAAATAAAACAAGACTTTTTAGCTGAATGTTAAATATTTTTAAGTGATTTTAGAAGAAAAAAAATCTGTCAACTAAAAAATTAAAAAATATGCTTTGAATCTGGGAGGATCTGTGGGAATTTGCATTATAAATAAAAGCTCTCACTTAAAATTTTAAAGTTGTCCCCCCCCCACTGCCAAAATGTCTATGGCCGTGCTTTTTTTTTTTTTTTCCTTCTTTCTGTAAAATATTAAAAAACCTTTTTTTAGATGTTTGGCTGTTCCAGAATTTTTGATATCAGTTTGTAATTTGCTTTCCTTTTCTTAAAATTTTTTTAAACAAGCAACTATTAAATAATACCTCAGAAACATAGTGTGTAAATAAAAATGAGTAAAGTATATACATTCTTGTATTTTTGAGATAAAAAAAAACAGAAATCCAAGTATTTTTTTAAAGCAGAAACATGGAGTTTAAAGAAGAGTGTAGTCAAAATAAAACAAGTGTTTGATTGAATGGCTTGTTTCTTATTATACCACTTTTCATTATTTACAATGTTTCAACAACTAGTTTTAATAATTTTATTAAAAAAGTTTCTGCTTAAAAAAATTCCCAGTGAAAATAAAATGTAAAAAATAAAAATTCTCTAAAATAAAAATTCTCTAAATTGCATTCTCTCATCAGTAGACGTTTTGAAGATTTTGTAAAATAACCGGCATTTATTGTGTAAAAACTACCGAATTAAATAAAAAATCATCACCACAGTTTTTTTACTGGTAACATATTAAATAATGTGGAAACATATTTCTAGCGAAAAAAAAAATATCACTGAGTAAGAAGTAAAGAAGAAAAAAAAGAATATTAAAAACTGACCTCTTTATTTTAGCAAAGATGACATCGGTGAGTCTTGAGGCTGGAGCACCCGAGGGATCATCTACAAGTATTGTGGAAGTAAAACGAATCTGATGAGGAACAAGACCTAATTCAGACATGGCTTCATCTGGCTCCATCAGACGGATTTTCTAAAAGATGATTTACAAAAAGTTTTATCTTAAGAACAGTAGAATACTTGGCTTTTTGTTTTTAACTCTGCTCATATTTTTCTCCAATAAATCTGTATTTCCATCTTTTATCCTTTATTTCACAAAAAAAAATTTTTTTGAGAAAGAAAGAGCTCAAAATTAAAAATTTATATTTAAATTAATTACATATTTGATTTGTTAAAAGCAAAGTGATAATTTAAAAACTTAGCACATAAAAACAGCAGTACTTTTAATTATAATATATTAAAAAAAGTAGTAAGTAAAACCAGGCAATTTCATCAAAAGTTATCATAGTACACCTTTTTACATATTAAAAGCTTTAACAAAATTTATCGATCCTGGTAAAAACAAAATTTATCGAGCCTGGGATAACCTGGTTCGTAGAGCATGGGTCATTGTCCAAAAGGTTGCCAGTTCGATCTCTGTTAGCCGAAGACTACCCATGTAGTAAATGGTGACTGGTGCACATTAAATCTGCTGTGTCACAAAGTCCTCTACATTCCCATAACAAATCAATACCTGAATTGGAGATTGAATGTTGTCTGGTTTAGGTCAAAATTACAATCTATGGATAAATGAATGATAAATGGGTTCTCCCTGTAAAATGGGCTGTATGTGT